TTTCTTATAACTATGGCTAGTACCCCACTATAATTAATTCTCTGTTCTATTATTCTCTCCCACCCCTTTCACTCTATTTACCTCAGTACAGAGGAATTTAAAAGACTGCAAGGAAGCAATTACAATGAGAAACCTAACCAGCAGTCACTTGGGTCTGTATTCAGGCCAGTTAAAACAAGTTCAAGCCCTGGCCGGTTTGGCTCAGCGGTTGGAGCGTCGGCCTGCGGTCCAGAGAGACCCAGGTTTGGTTCCCGCTAAGGGCGTGTACCTCAGTTGCAGTGTGTCCCTGGCCCTGGTTGGGTTGTGCAGGTGGCAGCCACTCGATGTGTACCTTTCATGTCAATGTTTCTCTCTCTCTTCCTCTCTCTCCCTCCCACTCTATCTGAACAAAATGTCCTTGGGTGAGGATAAAAAAAAAGTTCAAGATTAATAACAGGGCTAGAGTTCCTTGGCTTGTCTCTCCCTGAGGTAAAATGATCAGGAGATAGAAAAAATTCCAGAATTCCTTGATATGGGAATTCCTGAACTGTGGTACCAAAACCCATTGGTGAAGTCCTGATTCAAACTACAATTAGATTAAAAGAATATGGAAATGTACGAATTGATAAGATTATGAATATTAGAACGTTTAAACAATATTTATATTTAAAAAGTTATGTCAACTTTGATTGCATCTATTTTACTGGATAATATTTTGGAAATAGACATTGTGTATCACTGGGGAACTTGACATGAAGGCTGTCAGTTCTTCCTATGGGCTATCTGAAGGTAAGATTCTCTTACTATGTCCCCTCTTAGGACCATAGGTTTGCTTAATACCATCAGAAATACTTACTGTTTGTCCCAGCTGAAATATAACAAGATATTTGAAAGGATTTAAATAATAAAATTTTTATCAGATATTTGGCAAAATCAGAAGCTGAAGATTCAGAGTTTGATATGATTTTTTGAACTCCCTCCCTAAGCTAAATTACAACTATATACCGAGCTGGAAAGAAGCAAATTGGGGATTATGTAGTCAGTAGGTATGTCAACCAGTGATGACATTAAGTTACAGCGCCAACTATGGGAGAAAAAAAAAAAACTTTACTCTCAAGGTTCCACTGAGAGGTCTAATAATCAAAGAAACATGAGACAGATTATCAAGAGAAAATAATCAATTTTATTATATATACATATGGGAACTCTACATACATGAGAGAATCAGGAATCCCACATGAAGGAGAGGTTCAGAGATAGAAAGAGGGATCTAGACCGGCCAGTGTGGCTCAGTGGATTGAGCACCATCCCATGGACTGAGATGTCCTGGTTTGATTCCCCGGTTAGGGCACATGCCCAGGTTTCTGGCTCGATCCCCAGTGGGAGGCATACAGGAGGCAGTCAATCAGTGTTTCTCTCTCACATCGATGTTTCTATCTCTTCTTCCTCTCCCTCTAAAAAATCAATGAAAACATATTTAGAAAGAAAGAAAGAGGGATCTAGATACATAAGACATCTGAGCTAAGGATGAGGTAATGCACCTTGGAAGCTTCAAAATGTCACTGCGGGATGATAAGAAAAGCAGATGTTTAGTAAATAGAAGTTTTCCCTTCCATATAGGTGGGTCAACAAATTGTTTTATTATGACCAAAGTCCCTAATTTAAGTTCTTCTAGGTAGTTAAAGGGAGGGAGTAGAAGTTTCTCTTGAGCCTGCTCCTAAAATTGCCTTTAGCTCAAAATAATCTGCATACACTGAGGCACAAGTTGAGGTGGCTTGTTCTGGACCCCCACAGGCTATTACACTCTTAGAAAAATGTATACATACTCCAGCCTCACTATTATGTCACGTGTCATTTTTAACTTTTCTTCAAGACCCTAATTTCCATCTTATAAACAAAAGCTCTGCTCCCAAATATCTTCTATGAATATTAGACTTCCCTGGAAATTGCTGTACTTGAAAGTGACCACAGAATTTTAGCAGTAAAAGTGACTAAAATTACTCTGGAACCCACTTCAGATTTCAGCCAAGGGCAAAGAAAATCTGGTCTGTAGTGTGGATTTTAACAAGGCATGTGAAGAAATAAACTTGTTTCTGATTCACGCCAAGGAGTCTGTCCTTGTCAAGGAACCATTTGTCTTAATTTCATACTAAGAAGTAAATTGTGCTGAGTGGCAGTGCCTGTCTTTTGCATCCTGGCGATGAATCTGAGCTCCCCTACTGACTGCCTGTGTAACCTTAGACAAGTCATGTAGCTCCCCTAAGTCTCACTTGCCCCTTTTACCAAATGTGATCATTATTAGAGCTTCCCTGTTTACAAGTCTGTGAAGATGAAAAGTAATGAGTCAATCCACCATTGATGCGGAGTGCCTTATACTTAGTAAGCCTCTCTAAAGTGATTTTATTTTTTTTGTTTTGTATGTATTGGTTTCAGATGTACAACTTAGTGATTAAACAATCATATACTTTACACATGTTCCCCTCAAAAAGTGCCTTTATTATTAGTGTTAGCGTTTCAGTTCTATTCTCACTGTCATTGTCATCTCCTTATCAGACTTAAAAACCACAGCCTCTCTCAATAGAATCTACATTGTACACTGCAGATTAATCAGTTCTCCCCTGAAAAGTAAGACTGAAACAGGCCTGTAAAACTACTGAGAAGTAATGCCTTTAATAAAGTTCTGTGATGGCTATTTTGATTTCATCTTTGGGTACTTATTTTCCATACTTTCAAATCTTTGAAATAAATGCTGAGATTATTATTTATGGTAATTCATGCTTTTCCCAGAAGACAGAAGTATTTTCTCTCCCACTCCTATCTCAAACTTCACGTTACTATTTCAGTCAGACCATGAAGAAAAAACATTTTAAAGTATAAACATATATGTTGATGTTCTGCCACTTAAAGTCACTTCATGCTTTAGGCTATTAAAAGGATGGATTTCTCTCTTATTTTTATTTTCAGAGCCAAGAGCACCGTCTAGAACGTTGGGTAATTTATTCCATTAGAGCCATTTTCCGAGGTCATGGGGAAGCTCTCTCTCCATGTATACAAAGGACTCCCTGAGCTCCTTCGGTGGAGCTTGTTGGCCGAGAAGACAATCTTGTAGGGTGTCTTGCGTTCTCATGGGTTTTCCATGGTGCAGGTGGCTATACTAACATGCTAAGTATATTCTGGCCCTTGTGTTTGCCATTACGAAGGTCACACAGTTTTAAGCGATCATGCCTACAGTGATGACCACAGTAATTAAAAGACCTTTGGCAAGCAGAACAATTCCTGGACGTCAGTGCAGAAAGCACATCTGCATTTTCTGCCCAAATGGGGCCACAAAGGGAACTGTCCAATTCCCACAGGTGCAAAAAAAAAAAAAGTAGAGTGGGAAGGGCAGGGATGAAATGTCATCTCCCTAGCAGCATGTTTCTGCAGTTCAGCAGTGTGAGAGAAGAGAACAGACTTAGCATCTTCTCCAGTGAACACACATTCTTAGTAGGATGTCATTCGTTAAGGTGGAGATGAGGAGTTAAGAGATAAAGCAAAACAAAAAAACAGAAGTATTCCAGACTTTAGGAAATCAAAATTATTTCTAGAAAAACTGCTTCAAGACTATTGTTTTTCCAGATAGCTGTTAAAAGAAAGATGAAAAAAGGGTTGTGAAATGGAAATATATTCATCGCTCAATTCTTCATGCTGAATATCCGGAATTCTTCCTACAGTGAATGGACTGATGATGATGCTACTCCCCGAGGTGTATATGATATGTGCTGGTTCAGCCCTGGCCGGTTTGGCTCAGCGGTTAGAGCGTTGGCCTGCGGTCTGGAGAGACCCGGGTTCGGTTCCCACTAAGGGCGCGTACCTTGGTTGCAGTTTGTCCCCGGCCCTGGTTGGGTTGTGTGGGTAGCAACCACTCGATGTGTCCCTTTCATGTTGATGTTTCTCTCTCTCTCTCTCCCTCCCACTCTATCTGAACAAAATATGGAAAAATGTCCTCGGGTGAGGATAAAAAAAATAAATAAAATTAAAAAAATAAAAATAAAAAAAATAATAATAATAAGTGCTGGTTCAAGCATGTGCCCTCCTTTTCTCTTTCCACTGAGATCACTATGGTTCTTTGGCTCTGCCCCTCAGGCTCCCTGTGTCAGATGGCCTCCAGGGGTTCTTCTGTGTCCCCAGGCATGATGGAGTTATTGCTGCAGTTTGGGTGGGGCTGTGTCTCAGATGATACTAAAGGTGAGCATTTCCTCAGGGAATGGAGAGAGGCAGTGGTCAGAAACAGTATCTGTGCATACTGTATGGAGAGGATGCCTGGCCGGGAGTGATTCCATCATTGTCAGAATGAATGTAACGCTAGTATTACAGACTTGCCCATCGGGGATTATTAATGAGACCAAACCCAGATTTCTGATAAATCTAATTATTGATGGATTAAACAGTGTAACCACAAGTAAGGGGTGGCTCATGACCTCAGAGAGTGATTGAATCAATCACCAGAGAGAAAACAGAGCTTGTATTTTCCATGGCATAGAAATGTTTTCATGTCAGGAACATTTTCTAAAGTTAAACATTTTAAATGCCCAGAGTCATTTTTTTTTTTTTTCAGAAAGGATGGCTTGTTTTTGTTTTCTATGCTCTTTTTACGCATCTGACTGAAGTTCTGGAAGGATGCCCATCTAACCCATTCCTGGTACCTGAGCCTGTGCACCTTTTTGGGAAAATCACACGCCACACTCCAGTTGTCAACAAAGATAAAAACTGATCCAGATTCATTATTGCATAGGGTGAGGTGCCTTCTAAGTTCCTGTGTTTGCAAGGAAGGATCACGGTTCCTTGGTGGGCTTTCAGCACTAGGTTTCAATGCAAATGTCCCTGTCCTAGAGGAGTTCTGGCTGCGCTGGGCTCAGGCCTGTGTAACGCAGGCACTAGGGGGCGATGTCTTGCAAACTGTCCGTCCTTTCGGGAGCTGTAGGCCAGGGGGTGGGGCTACGCTCCGCAACCTCCCGGATGTTCTGCTCGCTTCAGCGGCGCTGGGAATCGCATCTTCCTTGCTCTGCCCTCACCTGTCCAGCTGTGATCCGTACTGGTGGTGGGTGTTCAGGACGGACTCAGGGAACCAGGAAACCTAGAAATGGTGAGTGTGCGGCCGGGAGCAGACGGGGAGGAGGGGCTGCTCCAGCCGCCCTGGCGGGACCGTCTCCGCGGTCAGTCCGGAGTCTGCCGCCTCAAGGCCCCCGGGGGCTCCGCTCACTCCTCAGTCCCTCGGGCTCGCGGTGTGGGGGCTGCACCGCCAGCCGTGACCGGGGCGTCCAGTCCGTCCCTGCGCGCGAGGACTTCGGCCCGGAGCGTGTCTGCGCAGCTCTGCACCCCGTTCCCGCGTCTCCCCAGTCGGGGAGAATCATTTTGGACAATCATGACTCGGTCTCTGGGGTGCGTGAATGGGAGGAGCTGTGGTCTGTGGGGTCCCGGCCCCTCCTTTCTCCCCAGAGGGAACCCGTGTTCTCCTGAGTTTTCTTGTTTGTGGAGCAGGGTCTCCAATCCACCACCTGTCCCCAGGCCTAGCGCTCCGACAGATGCCTGCGTTTGCAGCTCTCCCCCGAATCCCAAACGCCATCTTCCCTTCGGAGTCACTGCATCTCTATGAACTATTTGTTTTTGTGGTGCATTTCATACTGTTTTAAAAAAACAAAACAAAATTCAATTGAGTACATTTGAATATTTAATTGGCTTTATTCCCCATTCACGAATCGAGCAGCATCCGATTTAATACATAGAATCTCAGAGGAGCTGTGCAAAATGGAAGGCGTTTACAGGCAGAAATACAGTGGGAGTAAGAGGTTACTAGGAAAAGAAAAGAGAAGGATTGCTTCAGGCCAGGTCATCTCTCCACAGTAGAAAATAGCAGGAGTCTTGTTAGGCAGATAATGGTTGATCAGGAAATTCCAGAGTGATTGGTTTAAATTTTTCTTCCTGGGGGAGGTTGGAAATGCAGTTAAACACAGGCATGCATCCCTGAACCTGGGGAGTACATCCTTAGGCAATTTTGTGGTTTTGAGTCCACTTACACAAACCTACAAGGTATAGCCCTGGAGGGGTAGCTCGGTTGGTTAGAGCATCGTCTTGATACACTAAGGTTGCAGATTATGTGCCCTGGTGAAGGCATATACTAGGACCAACCAAGGCATATAAAAATGAGTGGAACAACAAACTGATGTTTCTCTCTCTTTCTTCTTCAAATCAATAAATTAAAATATGTTAATTTTAAAACCTGTATGGTGTAGCCTACTACACACCTAAGCTATATGTTATAGCCTATTGCTCCTAGGCTACAAACCTGTACAACGTGTTACTGTATGGTATGCTGTAGGGGATTGTAAAGCAATGGTAGTAAGTATTTGTGAATCTAGACATAGAAAAGGTACAGAAAAAATATGGTGTACAAGATAAAAAATGGTGCCCCTGTATAGGGCACTTACCCTGAATGGAACTTGCAGGACTGGAGGTCTCTCTACATGAGTCAGTGATTGGTGTGTGAATATGAAGGCCTAGGACATTGTTGTACACTGCTGTTGACTTTACAACATTGTACACTTAGGCCATGAAATTTATAAAAGAAAAGAGTCAATCAAACACAGGAGAAAATGATGCAATCAAAAGACACAGTAAACACAAGATCTATTATGACACTGCTACCTGCCTAAAATAGCAACCTATTTCACAGCAAACGTTTAATAGTAGAAAGGTATAGTATAGTAAATATGTAAACCAGTAACAGTTGTTTATTATCACCAAGTGCTATGTACTGTACGTAAATGAATGTGCTGTACTTTTGTAGGACGGCAGCATAGTAATCTTGTTTATACCAGCATCACTATAAACCTCTGAGTAATGCATTGCCTTATGATGTTATGATGGGTATGACATCACTAGGTGATAGGAATTTTTCAAATCCATTATAATCTTTTTAAATTAATTAATTAATTAATTAATTTTATCCTCACCCAAAGACATCTTTCCACTTTTTGTTCAGATAGAGTGGGAGGGGGAGAGAGAGAGAGAAACATCAACGTGAAAGGGACACATCAAGTGGCTGCCTCCCGCACAACCCCAACCAGGGCCAGAGACGAATCACAACCGAGGTATATGCCCTTGACCAAAATCCAACCCGCGACTCATTGGTCCGTGAGCCAACGCTCTAACCGCTGACCCAAACTGGCCAGAGCTCTATTTTTTTATTTTAATCCTCACCCGGGAATATGTTTTATTGATTTTAGAGAGAGGAAGCGAAGAGAGAGAGAGAGGGGAGAGAAAGAGAGAAACACCAGTGTGAGAGAGAAACATTGATCAGTTGCCTCCCGTACACCCTCAACCGGTGATCGAATCTGCAACCCAGGCATGTGCCCTGACTGGGAATGAACCTGCAAACTTTTGGTGTTTGGGACGACACTCTAACCAGCTGGTCAGGGCCAAATCCATTATAATCTTATGGGACCACCATCCTACATGTGATCTGTTGACCATATGTTGTTATGTGGCTCATGACTGTATTAAGTTTTGGTTTTGGTGATGTTACTTAGTATAAGTGATCCATTGAGGACCTCTTATCTCCTTTTTATCTTTTTAAAGATTTTTTTATTGGTTTCTAGAGAGAGAGGGAGGGCGGGAGGGAGAGAGAGAGAGAGAGAGAACACATCCATTGAGAGTGGAACATCAATTAGCTGCCTCTGCACAACCACTACCAGGGATCAAGCCTGCAACCCAGGCATGTGTCCTGACCAGGAATCAAACCAGCAACCTTTTGGTGCACAGGACACCTCCCAACTAACTGAGCCACACCAGCCAGGGCCTATTGTCTCCTTTTAATAAAACAGACTCAATATTTTAATTGTTTATTATTTCCCCACAGTCAATGAATGGCTGTTTTTAAAAAGGTTTATTTTGCCCTGGCCGGTTTGGCTCAGCGGTTGGAGCGTCGGCCTGCGGTCCAGAGAGATCCGGGTTCGGTTCCCGCTAAGGGCACGTACCTCGGTTGCAGTTTGTCCCCGGCCCTGGTTGGTCGTGGGGGTGGCAGCCTCTCAATGTGTCCCTTAACATCGATGTTTCTCTCTCTCTCTCCCTCCCGCTCTATCTGAACAAAAAATGGAAAAATGTCCTCGGGTGAGGATAAAAAAAAAAAAAAAAGTTTATTTTGTGTGTGTGGATATTTTACATGAGAGAACAGTAGTTAATGACCACCAGGAACTACTTGGCATAAAATCTTTTTGCCTCTCTTTCTAGGACCTTTCCTGGGCACAGACATTCTCTAAGAAGTCCTTTGGGTGGAGGTTCCTCTTGGGTAACTTCCGTGGGTGTTCTAGATCAGCGTTGCCTCTATCTGAATTTGTCACCTTTAAACATTTATTCACTTTATTTTAGTCTCAGGTTTACAATGAGTAAAATTTTATTTAATCACCGCAACTTGAAACACAGTACAAAATATTTTGTGGCCAGAGCCAGGTGACTCTCAGAGAAATAAATATTTCATTGTTACATTAAATTCTTGTTTCAACCCGGCCAGTGTGGCTCAGTGGTTGAGCATCAACCCATGCACCACAAGGTCACCAGTTCAATTCCCACTCAGGTCACATGCCCAGGTTGTGGGCCTGATCCCCAGTAGGGGGCATGCAGGAGGCAGCCTATCTATGTTCTCTCTCATTGATGTTTCTATCTCTCTCCTTCTTCCTTCCCCTCTCTCTCTCTCTCTTTAATATCAATAAAGAAAACAAAATTTTTTTAGTAAATAAGTAAATTGTGCCCTGGCCGGTTTGACTCAGCGGTTGGCGCGTTGGCCTGCGGTCCAGAGAGACCTAGGTTCGGTTCCCGCTAAGGGCACGTACTTCAGTTGCAGTTTGTCCCCGGCCCTGGCTGGTTGTGCGGGTGGCAGCCACTCGATGTGTCCCTTTCACATCAATGTTTCTCTCTCTCTCTTCCTCTCTCTCTCTCTCTCTCGCTCTCTCTCTCTCTTCCTCCCACTCTGTCTGAACAAAAAATGGAAAAATGTCCTTGGGTGAGGATAAAAAAACAAAAAAAAACAAAATGAATAAGTAAATTCTTATTTCCCTTTTTTCCTCCTTGTACGGTTAGGAATATTAAAGGGTCTATTGTTTTATTTTGAGTGAGTCAAATGGATTTTCAGAGCTTAGACCAAAGGTGTTGAAATATGATTAATAGCTTATAAAACAAAATCTTGCCCTGGCCAGCGTGGCTTAGTTGGTTGAGGATCATCCCTTACACCAAAAGGTCACTGGTTCAATTCCCAGTCAGGCCACATACACCGGTTGCAGGTTCAGTCCCCAGTCAGGGTGTGTACAGGAGGCAACTGATTAATGTTTCTCTGTCACATTGATGTTTTTCTTTCTCTCTCTCTAAAAAATTCGATAAAAGCATATATATTTTTTTAAATGTTGCTATTGCCCAGCCGGTCTCTCAGTGGATTGAGCTACGTCCCATGGACTGAGAGGTCCTGGTTCAATTCCCAACCAGGCACATGCCCAGATTTCGGGCGTGCAGGAAGGGGCCAATCAGTATATCTCTCACATCGGTGTTTATATCTCTCTCCCTCTCTCCCCAGAACAATTTTTTAAATTTTTTTTAATATCTTGCCATGGAAACAATAATTAACTTTTTTTTTTTCACTGCAATAGATATTTGTGGATTTTCTTGTTGAGCTAGCAAAATGCCTTTCAATTTTATTCTCTCCTTGGCTGGATTGTTGGAACACTCCCTTTGTGCCATTTCAGAGTCTCATGCTCTACCGACTGAGCTAGCCGGGCACTCCTTCTTTGTGTCATTTAAAATAGCAATGTTGGTCCAGAGCAACTTCAGTAAGGAGCAGGTGCCTAAGGCCAGTTGCTCACCCCACCCCCCATCCCCCACCCCCACTCCAGCTCTGAGCCTACAAAGGAAAGTATTTGAAGGCACACTGCTTCTTCCTGGGGAGCTGCCCCATTCAGGCATGGTGCTTGCGCACACCCACCGCGGAAGGAGTTGCTACATTAAGAAGCTACAGCCCTGGAAAGCTGGGGGTGTATGTGCACATGGGGGTGGTGATGCCCCCTCTAGGGTTTTAGTTATGGTTCCCCTGGGCCTGTTTCT